ACTTCTCCTTTAAAAAATAACAGAGGCGGAGATTTTCAAACACCGCAAACGAGATACCTGGTTGCGGACTCACGCATAGAAGTCGATATATCAAGTAAAATTATACATTTTTACTTAACTTGCTCTGGACTGAAAATCTCCTCTAATTTTATTTGAAAACTTCGGCGGGTGATACAATTTTTAATATTTTTTATAAAAATCGTATGGCACAGTTGTACAACTTCATAATTTTGTAATTTCACCGGAAAAAACGGCATGCTGTTTTGGCACCTACGATGTCAAAAATGTGTCTGGTGATCCTAAGATGCTGCCTTGATTGCCCACGCAGTTGAATTTGCATTCACAGGATGTAAAGTTAACTGCGGGGGCAGTAAAAACAGCATCTTGGGATCACCAGACACATTTTTGACATCCTAGATACTAAAACTGTACATTATTTTTTTCAGTGTTCGGCAAAAATTAGCGTTTAACCGGTAATTACTTTTGCGAATTTCTTGTCGGAATGAAATGAGGAGAAAAGAAAACAACTGAGGAAAAAGCGGAGTAGAGGGAGAAAAGCGATTTAAAGAATTACCGTAGTTGAGAAGAGGGAGAGGGGAAGAGGATGCAGATATGGTATATCGTGCCGCACGCTAAGCTTTCCGGTGCTCGCTCTCGTAGCTAACTTAATACTAAGCTTTCACACTATTCAGTCTCAGTTACACAGGTAGGCGTGGAGCAGTTTTCGACTTATGAATGTCAAATGCATGCTTTCGGTCCCTCCCACTGCTATTTTCCGTAAATTTGTCAAATTCAATACTTCGACGTGCCTCAAAAGCAGAATGTATTGAGTTTCCGTCAACCTACTTCATCTGAAAAGACGAACAGTGTATCCTTGGACGAGAAAAAAAAACTAAAAGATGGTCCGAGCAGTATATTTTACGAGGTGGTGAGATGGTGGTGAGTTCACACCATTTTGTGGGGAAAACAAAGCCCAAAAATTTCAATTAAAGCTCAGAATTTTTGACTCTAATTAAAATTTTTGGCACTTTTTGGCTTTGTTTTCCTTGCCAAATGGTGTGGGCCCAGCACTATTTCACCACTATGTTAGATCCTTGGAAGGCGACGGCGTGGACGTCCTGTGAAAGGTTGGCGACAAGGGGTGGAGGAGGAGATCAGAAGGTGCCAATTGCCTGATGATCTCTGGGAGGATAGGGGGCAATGGCGATTGGGCGTCGCAGAGCGCGAGGCGGCGCTATAGAAGCGACTTTATGTATGTATGTTAGATCCTTGGATTGATCTTTTTGACCACTACTATTGGACAAGCCTTCTGCTTCGGATGTCAAATATATGAATGAGAGTGAGTGAAGTGCGTAAGGAAGAATAAAAAACGAAGTAATTAAACCAGTAGGCTTACATAATTAATTTTTCCAAAAAAAATTCTGAGAATTCGATAATAATTGTTCTTTCAGATAGTTGTATCATCCGACGTCACTTTCTTGCGCTTAGTACCCATGTTTCACTTTAATTTAATTCGTTCGGATAGGTACAAGACAAATAGTTCTTGTAGTAGTTACGTTATTTTTAAATAGATTTTGTTTAAATAAATGAGCAAAGAAAGAATAATGTCGAAACTTCAATGACTGCAGCCCCTGCTTCATGCTTCTACAAGTCAATGATCGGCCATAGTAAGATTGAGAAAGTTACAGCATGAACAAGGTTTTTAGACGAGAGCGGTACTAGAATACTGACTTTCATAATTAATATGACGTATTTCTGTCAATCGGAACTATGTGCATCAAGACATGCGAATAAGAATATATGCGTAACAGGGCTCACGTCATAATGCACATAGTTCCGTTTGACAGAAATGCGTCCAATTACTTACGGGGGTTTTATACATTAGGATTATGGATTACGCGGTCTATAAGAGATCTCAAAAGTGAGGTGTAAATGCACATGACGAGTGACAACAGACGATGTTAGGAATTAGCTCTGAGGTTATGGTAGGGTGGGGGATAAGGGGGGGGGGGGTCATTTCATTAGGGTCGCGACCGGGTCTTAGAGAGAGGTCAACGCGAGGCACGAAAAATGTCCCCGCTTGCGGTCAACATTTCTACACCTTGTTAAACTCGATCAAATATTTAGTCGGCTCCTCGGGAGAGTTACCGAACCAGACCGCCAACTCACCGACGTGTCCCCGTCTCGGCCCGTGGAGAAACGGACGAAAGGTCCCGGGATTTTGACAACCCTGGTCGAAACATCCACCCGGCGCGGTCGCGGCGGACCCAAATCGACGTATTTCCGACGGAAAGAACTATGTGCGCTATGACATGAACCCTGTTAAGCATGTGTTCTTACGGGTCTCAGGGCTCACGTCTCAATGCACATGGTTCCGTTCGGCAGAGGTACGCCCCAATAAGAGCGCGACCACCGGCGACAGCGCCACGTAGTGGCGCAAATAAAGCACTCGAACAAACCGGAAGAAAAAAGGAAGGAGCGGCGGTGAAGTGGCCGAGACGAGGAGGGCGGCGGGGAGGAGAATATCGGAAGCACGCGCGATTCGGGTAAGAGTCGAGACTTCCCGAGTTGGAAACATAAATAAACTTGAGAACATGGGCTCAACCGAGACTCAGACGAGGGTGCCCGGGAGGGGGGAGGGGTGGAGGGGGACGGGGGAAAGGAGAAGGGACGAAGGGGGTCGCGGAAGATGACCGGGGTACAAGGTGAGGGAGCCGGNGGCGGACCCAAATCGACGTATTTCCGACGGAAGGAACGATGTGCCCTATGACGTGAACCCTGTTAAGCATGTGTTCTTACGGGTCTCAGGGCTCACGTCTTAATGTACATAGTTCCGTTCGGCAGAGGTACGCCCCAATAAGAGCGCGACCGCCGGCGACAGCGCCACGTAGTGGCGCAAATAAAGCACTCGAACAAACCGGAAGAAAAAAGGAAGGAGCGGCGGTGAAGTGGCCGAGACGAGGAGGGCGGCGGGGAGGAGAATATCGGAAGCACGCGCGATTCGGGTAAGAGTCGAGACTTCCCGAGTTGGAAACATAAATAAACTTGAGAACATGGGCTCAACCGAGACTCAGACGAGGGTGCCCGGGAGGGGGGAGGGGTGGAGGGGGACGGGGGAAAGGAGAAGGGACGAAGGGGGTCGCGGAAGATGACCGGGGTACAAGGTGAGGGAGCCGGCGCGGCGGTTGGCGGTAAGACGTGTACAGCAAACTGAGGAATACGTGACAGCTGAAATCCATTATGTATGAAAATGCATCGTGAAAAACCGCAAGTTAATGTGAAATATTAGTCGGACAAACAAGTAAAGAGCAGCGCTCCCCCCCCCCCCCCCGCCCCCCCCCCCCCC